GAGCTACAAGAAGGTATGATGGATAAGGGCTTTGCCAGAACTTCTTTCAGCATACTTAGCTCAAAAGGAGAAATATATCAATCTTTCAGGAAAAAACGCAAAAATTACCAATTGGTCTAAATGCTCTAAAAAATCTAGAAACAAAAAGCGTAACCATAATCTTACTTTGTTCTTACTAACTGCATTAGAATGGTCAGAAATGAAGTAAGGTGCTGGATATTTCAACATATTGAAGAGGAAACGAGAATAAGTGCGATTTGTACTGGAGCATTATCATTTTGAAAAAATTAATCCCTACTAAGAAAGACAGACTAAATGACTATATTTGGTCTCTTGGCAACCCATAGAAAAGTAATAGTGCACCTTAAAGGCCCGAACTTATGTTTTTATGAAGCTGGATGATGTTTAAAAGGAACTAATAAGTATAGTGGTAAACCTGGATTGAAACCGTCTCGATCAGATTTGAGTGCTTCTTCCAAGATAAAAGGTAGTCATTTATTATGCTCTCTTCCTAAGGACATCAGCCTTATCTACAAAGCACCCTATGAATGTATGTCATTTCCAGTGATGAAAAGTTATAATATGCGCTTTAACATCCCTTGCATTGCTCCCTTCCTCGAAGTAAATAAGTGATACCTCCAAATCCAAAAGTCTTACTCGACATTCCTTGATGGAGACAAGATCAAATGATCACAAAAGTATGAGTTCCTCATTGGATATTACAGCAACAGCGGGTCATAAGATGTGATGAAGATTATGTTTAAGGAATATTGATCCTACTATGATTATAAGAGGTTATGGGCTATTTTTTTCATTATTTTATATATAAAAACTATCTGCCAGTTTAGTTTGTGGTAATCTAGCATTACTATTTTTTCTGACATATGAATTGGGAAAAATATAAACTGTGTGTCCCTTTTTATTAAGGCCCATAACCTTAAATTAACACTTTGACTTCTTTTAATTTATCGTAGACTCATTTGATCCTGAGGCTAGTTGATTAAAATCTAAACTAACCCATAATTAAATTAAACCTCCAGTCTTACGGTTCAATTCACGTGAAAGGATAGACACCAGACATTCTTAGGGTTCCGTAGCGGCGTTGTTTTGTGCAACAAACAATTTTACTCGTGGTGATAATCGGTGGCCCGCCTGCAAAAAAAAATCTGTAATAAAATAATTAATTATTTTTTTTTTTTTTTTTTTTTTCTTTTTCATGTTTTTCTTGCTTAGTTCTTGTTCATGTGTTGACAGCTAATGTGGTGGACCTCTCTTACTTTTGGTTCTCTTATTTATGATTGCAAAGCTCTACTTAGTGAGCTGCAATGTCAGGTTTATTTTTGCAGTTAAGTCAGCTAATCATATGGCTTATGCATTGCCTAGAGCGGTTGTATCTTTGTCTGACATGGTTGCATGGAGTTCTACTCCTCCGTCGATTATGAATATTCTTCTTTATGATAATAATAATATATGAGCTCTTTTATTTTCAAAAAATAAAAAGTAGCAAGAGCTTTGTTGTTAAGAATGGTAATAGAGCAAGGTAAGGCGGGTTGCAAATAAGGATGAAGCAAAGCGCGGATATCTTTAGATATATAATTCATCCATTTCAATCAATTTATTATGAGTTTAAATATTTATAAATAGAATTGAGACGGATATGAATAATAAAATTATTGTTTATTATAGGTTCGAGTAAAATATAGATTTAACAAGTTTGGTCGTGGATATCACATATATTCATTTATATATTTTAATCTAAAATTGAATATTTTAAAATTTATGTATACTTTGCCTATTTAAATATATCTATGTAAAGGTATTTAAATAGATTTGGAATGAGCATGAGAAATAAATTACTGATGGATTGGGATAAATGTAGTTAGACAAATTTAAATGAGTTTAGATACGTAAATGAAATAAGAAAATCAGCCATATACCTAATCGATACATTATAGGATATTTTTAATATTCGAAAACATTATAATATGCTTTTGCAAATAAAACATAACAATGAAGTACATATAGTTAATGCTGGTGCAGAACTCTTTCAGCAAGAAAATTCACCAAATTACCCTTTATCTTAAAAATCAAAGCTAATTCTTTTAAATAGTTATTGTATCTGATATTAACATTGAAAAAATATCATTTATTATCATTTTAAAATACTCAAAACGACTTATATTTTGAGATAAAATAGTCACCTTAAAACCACTTATGTTTTGGTGTTAAAGGAAGTAATTAACCTGGACTCATCAGTTGATTCTAATATTAACAACTAATACCTACAAAGCACTGATTCCCCAGTGAAGATAAGGTTGTATATAATGACAATCCATGATTTGATGGATCATAGGTTCCAAGCACCTAGATGTGGATAAGAACTTATTAAGATCATCAATTAAATAACTACTTGCCAGTTAGTTTTGTGTATCATGAATTGGATTAAGTAAAACAATCCTCTAATTATGGAGAAAATTAATAATATTAAATCCAGTCTACTGTAGCACATTCTTAGGGTTTAGCTTGTTTTAAAATTCTGTTAAAATCTCCCTCAAAAAAAAATCTGTTAAAATAATTAATTATGCATTAAATTTGCTTCACAAAATCTCTGATGCTCCCTGGGCAGTAACATTAGCAACAGATGAAGTCAAAATTATCCATAAGAAATGCTTTTTATATGTGTGTGAATACAATAAATAAATAAATAACTATATATATATATATATATATATGTCATGTGGGATCAACTAAACCATTATGGTGAAACTACTACTGTTTATAGCTTATGACAAATCTAAAATAAGTGACCACAATCTGACAAAGTAAGACATTAATTTTTAGTACAACTTTACTAAATGCTTTCTTAAAGTATTCTAATCCCTAGAGACCTTTGCTTGTTTTTAAAATATGCAAAAGATAACCTTAGATTACATAAACTACACTATTGTCACCTTCTAAAACAAATCCCTTTATCTTTGTCTACTCCATTTTAATTTTTTTTTAAACAATGGCATTCTTTTCCTTAATTAGAGGATACTTAATCTTTCATCAATCAGTTTTGATTCAATGTTATTGGAGTTATCTTCAAAATTAAATTAAATATTGTGTGTTTGAACTTAATCGGAATTAAATTAACAGGAAAAATAATAACAAAACAAATAGTATAATCCATCGAAAATCAACTTTTCAGTAACAAAACTTTGTGCTACCACACGCATCTTTGAACTCCTAATTAACATTAATATTTACTTCCAGATCAAACTAAACTTGTGACTAAAAATGAAAAAGAAAATCAAAGGGGTTGGTCTGAGTAGAAATGAGTCGAATTCTTTAAGTAACAGGTCGAATGACTTATTTCTCAAAAAAAAAAAAAAGAAAAAGGTCGAATAACCTTGTAAATAGAGAAAATTTCTGCTGAGAGTGCTTCTTTTTACGGATTTGAACTCAAGTCTATGGAATAAGTACACCTATATATGGTGTAAAAAAAGAAAAAGAAAAGAAAAGAAAAGCTAGTTGTTTGGTAAATGGTAAACATGCCTCAAGTCTCCACCACAAAAAACACCAATTTTAGCATATCAAGCACACCAAATAGAAGCAAGTGTCTTTTTCATCAAATGGGTTGAAAGTAAAACCAAACAATCCCTCAAAACCCCACATAGGATTCTAGGCTATCACATTATATATATGTTTGTCATTTTATAATGAGATAAGCATTACTAGGAAGTTGGGTTGAAGTTTTAGGTAAGGAAGTGGGTCATGAAAGTGGGGCAAAGAGGAAGATAAAAGAGGGGATTGGCAGAGCATAAAGAGGTACTTGGCTTGGGTTTTCTCTAAGGGTTAAGATAGATAGAGTTCTCAGTCAACAATTGGAGAAGCATCCGTGCAGCATCTTCAGCCATGAAAAAGATTTTACTTTCTTAAATTTCTTGGAAAAACTTTTACCTACTTTCTTTCTTTCATGATGTATTCTTCTCACGTACATTCAGACTAATCTATACTGTACACGTGTGTGTATTGATGTCTTTTAAGTGACCTAATGGTATATGTCACACTCTTCCCTGGTCAATTGTTGAGTTTGAGCATACATCCATTCTTTATCGAAATAAAATTACAAGGTACATAGTTTTCTTCTTTAAATAACATTTATTAAATTAAAATTTAAGTTCACTTTTTACAACATCTAATTGACAATATACATCTATTCTTAATACACTAACAATTGATTATCATTTAAAAAAATAAATTGTCGCTATATATATTTTTATTTTTTTCAATAAAAAACATTTAAATTACCAAAAATAAACTGTATTTTCCGAGCGAATTTTACCTATAATAATTTATAATAATGTATACATTATCATAGTTATATAGAGCAGATGGCGGGGAGGCGGACTCGAAGACATGTTTGCAATTCCGTAGGCATCTTCACTGCTAGACTAAAGCTTAAATCTCAAGTCTTTATTTTAATAATAATTGATGATCCATGTTTATTTCGTGTATTTAAATTTTAAAAGTTCTCATCTTTTTTTAGAATTTTGTTTATATATATATTTTAAAGCAAAAATATAGTAGGGTAACTGCTTATGTGAACTCTAAGAATTTTGGCTCAAAAATATCTCTGAAAAACCAATTATTGAGTAAGCAAAATGGGTTGATGAATGATTAGTTGAGCAGAGAATAGGCAGAAGATAAGTGAAGGTACTCTGCCACTTTTCACTAAACAAACCCTGAATACAAAAAGTTAACACAGTAAAAGTCACTAAAGCCCACCAAAAATTAAGCTCTCTTATGAACAAGCTTTCCCTTGGTAACAACAACATTGAACACAACAATGGATTTCAATGTCAACAGGCAACCTAAATGCTGTGTTTCAAGACAAATTTTATATCTGCAAGGTATAGTACAAAATCTGAACTCAAAGATATTATCTTCAATTCAAGATATATATTAATGAATAGTAATTTCATGAAATAAAAAAATAAAAATTCTAAAGGTTGTAATAAAGATACCATCTCCAATACAAGCATTGATAGGGAAAAATTAAAAAACAATTACTATCTTCTAAAGCAAGAAACTTCTCCATTAACTAAGAAAGGCTAAACCAAACTACACTAGTCATTTCATAAAATATCATATCTTTGTACAACTTCAGCTCCTAATAACTACCAAAAACATTAAAAAAAAAAAAAACTTAGAAAATAATAATAATAAGGATAATAAATAGATAAAACACTACAAAATCTCTAAATTCTAAATTGAACTCAAACTAGCTAGAGTTATTAGTTAGCTTTCTCAACATAGCATTTAAACACTGATTCCAAATCAGGGGGGTTAAAGAACTCCCTAACACTATTATTATAGTTACACCTCGAAACCGGCCGCCGTTTTCTTGGTGCTGGTGGGCAAGGCAATCTCTCCGGTATTCTTGCCTCTTTTGCTGTTGGAGTAGTAGAACACTCTTCTTCTTCATCTTCTGCTTCGCCAATATCTTTGCCTCTTGGTTTCGTGTTTATCGGCTTCAGTGAAGTCCTAATAGCAATTCCAGCAATTACCCATTTCTTCCCTTCGCTGTCTAAACTTGAATCTACTTGCGCTTTCTTGGAAAACCCCATTTTTAATCGAAAGAAGACGGAAAAAGAGGGAGACTTTCAAGAAATGAAGCGAAAACAGAGCAAGAACAAGAACACGAAACAGAGGAAACAAGAATAGAAGAAAAGAAGGGATTTGATTCAAGAATCAGAACAAAATCAAGAAAAATAAATGAGGGAAGGAATAAGAGAAAAGGGTCTTTGGATACTAAATTTTTGGTGAGGGAGGCAAAATGAGAGAGAGAAATGGGAAGCTTTGAAAAGGGGAGATTTTGAGGGAAAATTATGTAAGAAAGAGAGAATGAGAGACAGAGAAAAGAGAGCCATTTATATATATTTATATATATATTTGATTTTGGGCCAAAAAGCAAAGAGGGTAAGAAGGGGCGGCTGCCCGGGATTCTTACGGGCAGCCGAAAAACGAGTGAAATGGAATTTTTGGCGCCAAAACTTTCAATGTTTTTGTTAGCAACGGCTCTTTTTCCCGCGTTAAATATTTTTTGGTTGTGTTCCGATTTTGCCCTTCGAGCATTTTTATTTTCTGGGGAATGATGACATGCAAGTCGGGGCACAATCACCGGCACATGTTTTTTATTAATTAAGTATTATTTTTTTTAAGTGTGATAATATAGGTCTAGACGCCTTGCCGTTTTGGGATGGATCGACTTTATCTATGTTCAGGAAGACCATTTTTAGCTTCTATCCTCTAAAAATTACACGTAAAATAAATAATCAAAAAAAAAAAAAGAGTGACTGTGATGTGGAAAAGTGATATTATTATGCTTACGAAATAAATTTTCCTAGTAAATTAAAATTGAGAGACAATAATTAATAAGTGATTCACGTTAGAAGCATTTTACTCTTTAATGAGTCGATCTATTACGAGCAGAATACATTGATTATATTTTAAAATCAATTGTTTTAGACTCTGACCTACGATGAGTTTGTTGTATGTTTTAAAATTAAATTTTGATTTGCTTTATTTCTTTAAATTGACTTAAAAAAAACGTGATTTTGAAAAAGTTACAAACTTTAGCATTTCCTTTAATTATAATTTTTTAAACCTTAATTATTGCAAGCACAATTTGACAAAAGCAGTCCAACTGCAAATGCAAAATAGAAACTTATTTTTGTTGAGACTTGCAATAAGACAAATTTAAGAAAATGAAGAAAAGAAGAGAATAAAAACAAAAATGTTTTTCTTGATGTCATTATCAACTTATCAATTTTTTTTCTCTCAAAGGGTCTTTTTTTTCCTCCAAAAAGAAAATTGCCCTCCAATAATATTAATTATTGTGCCTCTTAGGTGTTCTAATAGTGTAAATTATTTTATCTATTTTTAGTTTAGCGGTTAGTTATTTATATAATGATTTAAAATAAATTTTTTTGATAAAAGCAGTTGTTTTATTAGCAATTAAATGTAAAATAATTTTAAAAAGTTTAATTAATTATTATCAAAAGCTAACTGTTAAGAGAGAGTAATATTTAATGAAACATTTTTTCAATCTTTAAATGCTATTCTAAAATTATTGTTAAACATGATTTAAAAATACTTTCTTTTAGAAAAAAAAAAAAAAAGGAAAGGAGTTGCTAGAGTTTGAATGCTTAACAATATGAGACATAAAATAAAATTATTAAGCTATTAGCAACAAAAAAAATGTGGAAACTTCATGGGTTTTGTTTGAGAAGAGTACAAGTTTGGGTAGAAATTTATTGGCTTTTTATGGTTTGATAGATTTTAAAATTCAATGATGGTCACGTGTTAAAAAGCCTTTATGGGCCTCTGACATGGAGAAGCCCATTATGGCCATTTGAACCCCAGTCTGGCATTGGACTTAAATTCTCAAAACAAATCAATTTACTGCTTGACTAAAATTCACATCAAATGTAAGTTTGACTAAATGAGAGATTGGGTTCACTGTATGTGTTAAAAGCCCAATACTATATGTAAGGGTAATTTTCTCTCTCTTTTTTTATACCATAGATGTCCCTAGCACGTTGGGCTAAGTTTAATTTTGTTCCCACCGCGTTAGGTTCATATGGGAAAAATGCTCTCAATGGAGATTTTCTCTATTTACAATGGATCCAATATTCAATTGGTGTAATTTTTCCTCTTTATATAAATCTTCTATCCACCGAGTCGAGTGAAAACTTAAAATTTCCTCTTTATATAAGTCTTCCACTCACCAAATCCATGAGAAAGAAACAAAATCAATACTAACATGCACCTCTTCCAATAATAAAGATAAATAAGCTGCTTTAACAAAAAAATCACCATTAGAAGAAAAATTCCACAAAATGGAATCTTGAACGGAAGCAATTCAAGGAAGAGGAACCGCATAAATTAAACACTTAATATCATCAAAAAGACAGGTACATAACACAGAAAGATCCCAAAAGACCATTACGGATTAGATCGCGCACCGGAAGATGCTCCTCACTCTCAAAAATAGACTGTACCAAATCTACCAAAGGATCCACAGGCAACTAAGAATCATACCATAAACTGATTAGTCGACCATCTCTTATCCACCAAGAAACATGAAACTGAAGATTCTGGAAACTACGAATAATCTCCTTCCAAGTACAAGACTCACAAACTCGCAAGATCAGAGGAAAAGAGCAATCATGACAATATTTATGAGTCAAAACCTAGATATCCAATTATTTTACTTCTCAAACAAAGTGTTCTACGAGATCCTTTTCTTTTTCCTCCAAAAAAGAAAAATTTGCCCTCCCCAATAATATTAATATTGTGATCCTGCATTAGTCTTACTTAAACGAATGTGCACTAGTAATAAAATCCTCTCAATTAGAATACACAGATAAACTTTTACATATTTGGGCTTGTTTCATAAACATTTATGTTGTTTGTTTAGCGTGTTAGTCTTTTAATATAATGAGTGTTTTAAAGAAATACAAAGGATTTTTGTTTTGGATATAAAAATGCTAGTATGGCCTCGTCCCATCTTTTGGAGATTAAGCAATTTAACAAACTGCGTAAATGATGAAATAATTTTATAAAAAGTTTTAGAGGAGATACAATCATTAAAAGTGCAAAAAGCTAAACTTGTTGAGTGCTTAACCATTTTAAAGCCAGAGAGGGAGTTGGAATTTATTTAAATGCATAGAATCACATATTTTTATACAATACTTTAAATCGACTAATTTTCCTCAAAAAAACCAGCCCAATAATATGGTGAGCCTTGGTAAAACCACTGAATTTAAGAAATACTTATTGCTTTGTGACTGAGACAGTAAAAAAATAAAACAAAACGCGAGGAACTAGAGTTGCTAAATTCACCGAACGTCGTTGACTCTGCGACCACTTTTAAAGCTGGTCACAGCTGAAGGCTCTACATTAAACACAGAGGTGATGATTGATCATAAGAATAAAGATGGTATTAAGCTAGTTGGAAGCAACAAAAAGAGGAGGAGTGTGTGCGTTGGAGGAAACTTACACCATGCGTGGTTTTGTTGTGCGCTTGAAGGCAAAGCAGTGCGGTACAAAGTTTTATTGGGCAGTGGGCGCGTGCATCAGAAATTTTTGTATTTGTGTCTTTATGTGATACGCATGGTTGATAGATGTTTAAATTTCAATGATGGTCACGTGGTTAAAAAAAGGCCTTGGTGATGGGACCACTGTACTCTAAGACAATAGGTAGAGAAGAGGTCGCCGCCATTCACGCAGGTCTTATGCGGCATGTGGTCTGGATACACGCCCCAACGCCTAGTCTGGCAATTGGACTTAAATTTTCTCCTTACCTGACAAGATCGACAATCAAGCGGTATTACCTGCCCTGTTCGCTTGACCCTATATAAAATCTCCACATCAATCACAAAAATGTTACATAGGCTATTTGTGCAACAGCAAAACGGGACTTATTTCTTTATGAGAGAGACATATTGAAAAACTCTTATTAAGATTTTCTCCTGAGAGTTACACTAGAAGTGAACTTAAGTAGGGCAAGTTTTTTAAAACAAAAGAACCAGAAAAACGACTTATACTATATGTAAGGGAATTTTTCTCCTCTTTTTTTATACATGAGATGTTGTCGGGGCTAGGCGGCTTTATCGCGTGCAAAAGAAGGTGTACTGGCCAGGGTCATAAGTAGTTTAATTATTCCTGTGAGGGAATGATCAAAGCCTCAATTAAGGCACCCGATTCAGATTTGGATAATAAGAACGTTTCATAAAAATAAAATAACAATAAAAGAGAGAAGGTAAAAAATGCATAGAGACGTGACAATGGAAGAGAAGGAGATAATTATCATACGGATAAAGGTTTTTTTACAATTATTAGTGTCAAGGGAATCCAATATTCTTATATGTGGAACGGTTGAATCTTGTGTCTGGGAAAATTCTTTCACCGTAACGCTTTCATTTCCTTATATTAAATCTTAGTCATATCGATCCAACCACCGTTAAGTCCTCGTAGTGGAGCAATACCTCAAAATCTGAGGGTTGATGTGAAAATATTCATCCTAATAACCCTTGTTTATGACCAACATTTTCATATTTTAACTTTAGTTCTACTTCTTTTATTATTGTGTATATATGTGGCTAATAACTCCACCTACTTTTACCACTATAGATATCTCCTTTAAGTTAGTATGAGATCTCGTTAAGATTGAAAACATTTAAAAAATACCTACATTTCGCCAACATATTTTTGAGTATTTACTCTGAAATTTCATAATCATAAATGCAAATTCCTTCTCTTGTTAACCATAGGCCAAAAGAAAATAACTGAGTAAAAAGAAGGGATTCAGTTAAAATAAGCTTGTGAATGGTATGTGCAGACACAAGACGAACAAGCACGCAGTCCCAACAGTAGGCTTCACTTAACCCTGCGTATTTGACGCGAACTGTTTCATGTGATTCCCAAAAGAAAAAATAGTTCCCATCATATAAATGGTGGAATAATGTCGGTTGAACCCACCTGCAGGACTGAGAAAGCCAGACTATGCCTATATCGCAGTAAACCCCAGGAATACTTTTGTATTTAATGTGATATTATAACGGAGGAACCGGCAATTGGATATTAAATCAAATTAATAAAACAACTGACGATGATTTTAATAAGTCATATCATCAAAAAGACAGGCGTAACAAAAATAGTTATCATGGTCCAACCGCAGCTAAGGGAAGTTCCGGTGAACACAAGAACGATGGACTCGCCTCTTATCTATACAAAGACCCATACGGACTTAGTAAAACAGCCGCGTGATATGCATTACAACTGTTTCAAATTTCCGCGCAGATCCGCCACGGACACGTGCTCCATACAAACGGTGTCTTCGCGGACCAAAACGGC